ATTGTGAAAATATTAGAGTTTTTATCTAATAAGGGATAAAGGGCAGCAATTTCATAAAGTCTGCAGAGACGCAGACGGCTGGTTTTTTGTTGCATGGTGTTGAGCCGATACATCATAAAACTGATCCAATGACCAAATTCAGGTATAACGAGAAGGAACGTATGAGTCGCTTCTGGGGACGCGACTCTACTTACACCCGTACTCAGACAGCATATACATTTTTCAGCATATAATTATTTAATATTAAAAAAAAAAAATTTTACATTTTAAATTTTTTTTTGCTACATCTGTTATCTACATCTACATATACTATGTATATTGTACATCTAACATGTATATTCTACATGTACCATTTAGATTCTACATCTCCTCCGCTAGGGGTTGCTCGCGCACTGAACGCGACAGAGTGTGCGAGCGAGAAGGAAAATGAGTTGCGTTGTCGTTGGATGGAGGGGCAGGGGAAGCAACTGAAAATTAATTTCTTCATTCTGGCTATAATTATGATCCGATCTGATTCAGATTCGGCAGTCTGGTAGATATGGTCATTCTCTACGATACTGCGTTTTTAGTTTTATCGTATCTTTAAAAATGTGCCTGCCACAGATTTTCGTCCTTTGTGGGGGCGGAAGGGGGCGGGGCGAAATTTTGAAATACACTTGTAGCAGTATGATATCACATGAGTCTGAAAACCAAATTTGGTTGCTCTAGCTCTTATAGTCTCTGAGATCTAGGCGCTCAACAAGACGGACAGACAGACAGACAGACGGACAGACAGACAAGGCTATATCGACTCGGCTATTGATGCTGATCAAGAATATATATACTTTATGGGGTCGGAAACGTTTCCTTCTCTGCGTTACACACATCCACTTTTACCACAAATCTAATATACCCCTTAACTCTTTTTTGAGTACGGGTATAAAAACATTGATTGACATCATGCAACCATTTGCTACAGAAAATATGATAGTCTCCCTCGCTTTGCTCCACGTTGCATCTGATGTTTGTCAAACACAAATTTAAGTGCTGGTTAAAATCATCAGAGTAGGACCTGACATATGCATGTGACATATAGTTGAAAAAATATTTTAGAATTTCACTTCCATTCCAAACATTCAACAATGAATACCTTGTCAGTGCAAATTTTTAACAAGCAAGAGGACCAGCTCTTTACAAATGCCAAAAATTCATGCCCGCATGTTTTTGAGGCCGCTTTGTCCCACATAGAGCGGCAGAAGCATTTGGCTAGCCTTTGCCTCTGCTTTCGGCTTCGTCAATGCTTCGGCCCGCGTCGAGTCGAGCGACAGAATACACCAACAAAATATGAAGTCTGACGACGGGAATAGGTCCAGGGCCGGATTAGCAGTTGCCTAAGGCCCCCCTAGGGCTAAAAGGAAAATTTGTTGAAAAAACAAAACTCCAAGTAATGAATAAAAAATATAATAGCCACTGATAAACATACAAATTCATCAAACAAACATAAAATTTATAAGTTTTTATTTCAAATGAAAAAAAAACGAGAAGGAACGTGTGAGTCGCTTCTGGGGACGCGACTCTACTTATACCCGTACTCAGTCAGTATATACATTTTTGAGCTTATGATTTTTAAAAATTTTAGAAAAAAAAAAAGTTTTACATTTTACATTTTTTTGCTACATATGCTATCTACATCTACATATACAATGTATATTCTACATCTAACATGTAGATTGTACATGTTCCAATTAGATTCTACATCTCCTCCGCTAGGGGTTGCTCGCGCACTGAACGCGGCAGAGTGTGCGAGCGAGAAGGAAAATGAGTTGTGTTGTTGTGTCAGGAGGGGGCAGGGGAAGTAACAGAAAATTAATTTCTTCATTCTGGCTATAATTATGATCCGATCTGATTCAGATTTGGCAATCTGGTAGATATGGTCATTCTCTACGATACTGCGTTTTTAGTTTTATCGTATCTTTAAAAATGTGACTGCCACAGGTTTTCGTCCTTTGTGGGGGCGGAAAGAGGCGGGGCGAAATTTTGAAATACACTTGTAGCAGTGTGATATCATATGAGTCTGGAAACCAAATTTGGTTACCCTAACTCTTATAGTCTCTGAGATCCAGGCGCTCAACAAGACGGACGGACGGACGGACGGACAGACAGACATGGCTATATCGACTCGGCTATTGATGCTGATCAAGAATATATATACTTTATGGGGTCGGAAAATTTTCCTTCTCTGCGTTACACACATCCACTTTTACCACAAATCTAATATACCCCTTAACTCTTTTTTGAGTACGGGTATAAAAAAGGAAGCTAGCGAGAAAAAATGGAGGGCCCGGTTGAGGGTTGATCTGGCCCTGAATAGGTCGATTTTGGTTTTAAACTTTAAAATTTAAAGTTGTTATTTGTTTATACTGTGTGTATTTACAGTGGGAAAAAGTGGCAGTGGCAAAATTAAAAAATATTTTATGAACGCTTTGAATAAAATAAAAGTATACATCTACTAGAACATTTTCCAGAGCTTTAACGAATCTAATTTTCAAGATAATTTTAGTTTAGAAGATATGAGCAGAGATAAAATCCTTTATTTTTATATATTGTATTTATTTCCCACCCCCACCCACTCTGCCCATTCCTCATTTATGCTGCGGCAGGTCAGCTCAGATCGCTATCATCAGCCCATCAAAACAAAACGAACGAGAAGGAACGTGTGAGTCGCTTCTGGGGACGCGACTCTACTTATACCCGTACCACTAACCATACAGTATATAGATGTGCCAGTTCAAACACCGAACGTGTCGCAACTGAGTTTTCTGTTCCAGCACCACCAGGCCTTCGGCTGGGGCGAGATACGAAAGCAAGCCGAGAATTGCAAATGTATGTGTGTACACACAGGCACGACAAAATATTTATCAATTCTTATTTTCCAAAAGCGTTTTAAGTTTCGTTTCCAGGTTACACATACTGTGCTTGTGTGTGGGCTCTACAATTTTTTGCCGCTTGAACTGAATTTCGGTTTTTATACCCGTACTCAAAAAAGATTTAAGGGGTATATTAGATTTTTGGTAAAAGTGGATGTGTGCAACGCAGAGAAGGAAACGTTTCCGACCCCATAAAGTATATATATATTCTTCATCATCATCAATAGCCGAGTCGATATAGCTATGTCCGTCTGTCCGTCTCGATGAGCGCCGGGATCTCAGAGACCATAAGAGCTAGAGAAACCAAATTTGGTTTCCAGACTCATTGCTGCAAGCAAGCGTACTATGGCGCCACACTGATGTCTGAGCTGAATGGCGGCGATATGCTGCGAGACCTCTGCAGGGTACTGCACAAGCTAATATCAATTAATATTTAAATAATTTAGTATATTGTCACGATTGTTATCGATAATCTTTATTTATTAAGGTATTTAATGTTACCATGTCATTGCTCTGCCCTAACTGCACTATGTAAAGTGCAGTGGCGCCATCTTTTTTGGAAAATATGCAAATGTAAAATGTATTAAACAAAATAAAAAAGCTCTGAAGCTCGAGCTTCCACCAATGCCCAGCGAAAGCGTGGTGTTTTGCTTCGAATTTTTCGAACTTCATTCTACCATTGAATGTTCCTCTGAAAGGAACCAAATCAAATCGATTTTCGAAAGTTTTAACCGCTAAACTGTAACGCTTGGATCAGTACAATGGAAAAGCCGTAGCGCCACTAGCGGTCATAGTGGTGGAGAGCTACCGCAAATAAAGCGCCATCTAAGTCTTATGGCTGGGGGGAAAAAGAGTGCGTCCTTCTCCAATCCTGTACATCGCCCCTAAGCTGTTACAAAACAATTGCTTGCAAGTCTTAATCTTCTAGCATCCTCCCCCTCGACTCACAGAAGAGTTGCCAACTGTTTACCGCTAAGAAGTATCGTTTGAAAAATATCAAAGAGATAAGAAGCTGTGTCGCTGCGCTGTTTCAATCCCCTGGATGATCAATTTTCGATTGCTTTACATATATTTTTTTTTTATTTCAGTAATCATATTTTGAAAACATCTAAGAGTCATTTTCGAGTCGTTTTCCAATTTTTTTTGAGTCACGCATAAAAATAATATTTTTTCAATCATTTCAACGACTTGAAAAAGATTCGTCAAGGTGATTATATTAAAAACGAACTTCCAAATGCAATCTTGGTCAAAATACCCCGATCTCCGTTAATGTAATAGTATTAATTTAATACCTATAATAAATCCGTATTCGTTTCAGTATATCAGTGTTATGTTTCCAGACTCGTATGATATTACACCGTTACATGTGTATCTAAAAACGTTGCCACGCCCCCTCCACCTTCAAAAGGACGAAAATCTGAACAAAACGTATATATTTAAGTATCATATTCGTAAATCAATATCAATAATAACAAATATACTTCTCAACAAGGTGTCCTAATGTGGGCGTGGTCGGATTGACCTGAAATTTTTCTCACTTACTTTAAGTGCTAATATGATCAATTCCACTAAAAAGCCGCTCTCTAGCTTTATTAAATCTGCAGATGGCGCCTCGTGGGTTGAGGGATCATTGCGGCTCAGATCTTTCTTCATGATATTGTAGTGGGTAACATCGATTGCCCTGAGCTGCTTGGTAAGATTGGCTTCAGTACGCCTGCCAGGAGCCTGAGAGCATATGCCCCCTTTATGGTTGATTTTTACCGGAGCAACTCTGGCAATAAGGAATAACACTCTTCGCCAGTATAATGCATTGCAAGTTGGGATGATACAGGCGATAAATTATAATCCAGTTCAAAATTTAACCCACCTTAAGCAACTTACTAGATATGATCATTCGGTTGCTCAAGTGCTTTATGGGCTATTGAAAGTGGGATTATACGAAATTTAAGACGGTTTATCTGTTCAACATTGCTTTGTTTTATTAAGGTGTACTTTTTAATCTAATTGCATACATACAGTAAACACTAATTTTTATTATATTTACTTAAACGTACAATTCTTATTTATTTATATATATATATATGTTAATTTTTTTTAACTTAGGAATATTTATAACATTTTTTTATGTATACATTGTTAGCCCGTACCACTATCTAGACCCCAGAAATGATATATGATAACCAATAATCGAATAAAAATATGAGGAAACATCAAACCTAGGCTGAGATTAACATATGTCCACGCTATTTTTTAAATTATATTTTCAGTTTAAAGAAGTTAATTTTAAAATAAAATGCTCTCAAATTATTTTAAAAGAAGTGAAATGTACAGAGACTATGCCAACACACTAATAAAAGCTTTAAAAAATTTAATAAAATATAACTCGTAGTGTTATACACACATACACATATACCAAATATACAATAAAATAGTAAAATGTCTATTGTTTTGCATACAAATCAGAATTAAATTTCAATAAGTTGTCGGTTCTAATTTTGTAAATATTTGTTAAGTCAAAATTGAATGCACATGATCCACACATTTGTGATTGTTTCTTCCTGGTTTTACATTTGTATAAAAAAGAAAGAGTGGTTGTAGAACTAGATATGGTAATTTATCACTATATTCTTAACAGTACTGACTCGAATAAAAACGATATTTAACGCGTAAATTTAAACTAACAGAAATATACATAGTAACGATATTTTAAAATTATATTAAATAATTAAACTTTAAATATTGCAATATTGTTTCAATGTGGTTACAGTTGTACAAAAAGCAACTCAAAGTAAAACACAGAATATTGGAAGCATTGGATAGAATCAATTTTGATTAGAATTACTTTTAAAATTAACTAAATATCAGTTTATCTGCATCATTCAAAAAAGTATGCCATTACAAATGTATGTAATATACACGATTGCAACTATACTCGCAAATATAGAAACTGGCTCCTCTGTTTATTTAATATAACTTATTTTACATTTTATCATATATAAATTAAGGACTAACATAGTTCGTTTCAAATCGATTTTTCCCATTTCCCTCTTACTCGCATACAAAAGAATGTATGCATAGTCAAACATATATAATATGTGTTAAACAGTCTTTTTTAATTGGCAATGGCTATACACATTGTTTCGATTAGATAAATAATACCTTATCAAATATATATTTATATGAATATATATATATGCACACATATATGTACATATACAGTAATATAATGGGCACTTTCTGTATTTAAATGCACCTTCACACTATGCTTATACAGAAGCTATACTTTCATCAATTTCGGCATGAATATTTGGATTTGTATTGCCTTTTTTAATATTTTAAATTTGCCCACACACATACATACATATGTATCAATTAGTATTTTAGAGCCACACATGCTTAAATCTTCAGTTTTATTTATCACAGCTCTGTATGTATTTATACTCATAAAATTTGCTGTCCTCCAAATGATATGTTGAGGATAATTTTATACATACAGTGGCCGAACAAAAACAACAACTAATAGTTATATGTGAGGAAAATATGATCTTAGTATAAAACTTTAGTTGAACAACTCTTAAACCATTATTTTAAACAGTACAAATTTTCAAGAAAACGTTTAAATGTTATAATACATAAATAATATTTGTTTGGTAAGTAGTTCCTCAGTTGAACCTTTTTGTCATCTTGCCCAGCATTTCTCAAAGCGGATAATTATATAATATAGCAAAAATAGAAAATAACGGTCGAAAAGCAAGACTTTATGTGGAAAACATTTTCGTTTATAAAGAAATTAATTGAATTCTTCAAAAACTCTAGTTTCCGTACATTAAGAGTCAATTAACATAGCCCAATGGCTTTTTTGATAAATTGTTTGGTTCATACCAGTCAATGGTGGAGTTCGATGGATTTATGTCTACTTTGGATTTATGCAAGGCTCTAGTATGAATATCATACATATGTAGGTATGTTTGTGTGTTTGTTAATATCCATTTGCAACACTGTCGATTGGGACAACAAATATCTTATAGCTACACAAGTGTATGTATGTATGGGAACATAAACAAAATTTGAAAATACTAATAATTGAATTGATATAATAGGCTTCTCTACATCGATATTTGACTATTAAGTACATACAAATATTTATACATACATATGTAGGTTTGTATTTATCAGGGCTCGTAACTTTTACAGCAAATCTCATTAAGTTATCGACACAAATGCTGAACTGATCCAACCTAATACCTAATTGCGTACTGTGAGAAACGATTATTATTGGCACATTGTATAAAATATTAATTTATTAATCACATAAGGTATATATTTATGTATGTCGGTCATTCATGTGCTAAGCACTATTACTAATATATCTATGTATGTAAATGTATGCACTTGGATGTATAAATTACGAGCCCGTTTTTACGTACTTCATAATACAAATTATGTACGTACATACATACATATGCATGTAATCGGAAGATAAGAGTTTGAACTGAATGAAGACTAGTATATATATACTCGTATGTATGTTTAATAACTTGCCAATATGCATTTTTAAATACATGTATATATATATACAGGTAAATGGTATTTATTTCGCCGGCATTTACTCTTTATGGAATAGTAGCTATCAGGTCTTATGGTCAATAAATTCGTAAACATTGTCAGTATTTTTATGTAAGCAATTTAGATATGTACAAACTTGTTCTGTTTTTTCATCTTCTACAAATTTGAGATAAATACATATAAATAAAGAAATGTGGTATTTACCAATAAAAAAAACCCGGTATATGTATATACTGAGTGTATGTTTTATGTTTTTTACATAAACTCATATACTACCAATTGTTGTTGTCAAACTCCAATTTTAATTTAACATTTTAAAGTGCATTTCTCCATAGGTATTTATCTTATGTACATAAACCAAAAACTCCGGGATACTACATTAAAATTTCATCAAATCAATATGTTTTTTTATTCAGCTAATAAATTTTTAATGTTAGTAAAATTTATGTGGTTAACATAATAAATATATAGGGACGATATTTGCATAAACGTTTATGTACACACACACATAGGTGTATATATTGAAACAAAATTACTCACTTGTCGTGCCTTTCATTGAGTCACAAAAAGTTATTTAACAAAAATTATTTTTAAATATAAGCTGTTGTAGTTAAAAAGTAATATGTTAAAACAAATGTGGAGTTTGACAACACTCAAAACATTGAAATTAATTACACGTCAATACTAAAAAAAATCCTCGCCAAAAAAATTTAGAACGTTGTATATTATATTTTAAATGTACATGCCCGTATAAATATTTACATATTTATTTATACGTATGTATATATTAGTTGAATTCAACTTTCTGCGGATGGTAGATGTAACATAAGTAAGTAGCGTAAGATAAGTAAGTATGTACATACATATGTATAAATATACATCCTTACGTACATAAGCACGTTCACTTAATCTATTTGGCGTCCCCTAGCATGAGTTTTGATCCATTTGTGTTGTCTTTAGAGAAATATTTCTGTTTGTCCTCTTCTATTATTAATAGAAAATGACAATATATCAATGATAGCAGATTGTAGTTTCAATTATTACAAATATTCAAATATACATATTTTTATGTACATATGTATATATGAATTATTTAAATTTTGGCACTTGTCTATTTATGGCCACATGTTTCTAAAGATGGCGAATGGCATGGCGATAATAATAGGTATTGCACGTACATTAATTTAAGCTGCTTCTCACACAACACTGAATATTGAGAGAATTGAGAGAAAGCCGGCGATAAATATTTTAATAGACTAGCAGTTTGCTATGATACGCTAATGGCTCCAGTTTCGGAAGCGCCAGCACTTGACGTGGGATTGTTTGCGTTTGTTGGCGGATCTGAAGGAGTATGATGCTTTCCGTTGTTTACGGAATGGGTATCTCCGGACAATAGTGTTGACTCGCTATTGTTGGCTGCCGCTAAATGGTGGGTCAACTGTTGGTGGAAATGTTGGCTGAAACTGCTATTAAAAAGCGAGTGGTGGGGGTGATAGCCCTGTGGAGTTGCATGGTGAACAATGGACGTAGGGGCCAAAGCGGTAATTGCCGGAGAATCAGAGGGTTCAATGGAGCAAACATTTTGATCTTCACGCCGCTTAGTTAACTGATTGATGCTCAGCGGATTATTTATATCGCGTGGATTAGCACCAATGGGGTTTCGGGTTATGTTTGCTGGCGCCGGCGCCTTAGACGGTACAACGGAAACGCTAAAACCATTAAAGCCATTTGCTGAACTCTTATTTTTACTGACTGTAGGATGTGGCTGAAATAACGCATCAGGTTTGCTGCTAACGGAACTACCTATTGGATGACTCAGGCCCATTCCTAGGTGACTGAAACGATTTCCAAGCATCATAGCGCGCTCATGAGCTGAAATTGAAGATGGACCCGTCGTACCTGTTACAGGCGAGACAGTATTTGAGGTATTCGGCGTAGTGCTTATACTACATGTTGACCCACTACTCGATCCTGATGCAGAAATAGATTCCGATCTTGCTTGACTGGCTCCTTGTTCTGAGTGGACAACCATAAGCACATTAGAGCTGACAGCTAATAGAGACGGTGTTGCTGGATTAATATTCATATTAAGTGGGCTCGCCAAGCTTGTTGTTGTAGACGGGCTTTGCAAGCTAGACAAACCACTTAGACAGCCTGGGCTGGATATTGACTGATTCAGAGACTCTGTATCATCATCCGGAATTTTATTACTTTCATCACCGCTGCCACAGCTATCACCTAATTGATCATCATCATCATCATCGTCATCGTCATCACTAAGCTGGCTTCCAATGCCGCTTCCATCTTCAATCGCGCCGGTTCCGTTCATAGCCTCCATGTAGCGAATGCATTTTTTTTTGCGTCTACATGAAAAAAAAAATAATTTTAAATAATATAAGTTACATATTTTAAATATTAGTAATATTTTAGGTGCACATTTGAAATCATTCCAAACAAAATGTACATAACCATTTTAGGATTCATGCAGCAACGGAACCCTATAATTGAAAGCTTAATATAAAATGATGATCTTAATATTACAGCGTGCAAATCGCGTCTCTTGCAAAGTTGGTCGCAAATCAGAAGAAAAAGGTTAGATATTAAAAATGGCAAGTTTAGACTACATTTTTAACATAAATCAGTATATTTTTATACATATTTCTTTCCAATATATTATTGCTCCTAAAAATCCATTGCATTTACAGGAAAAGTGAATCATAATAAAAAAAAAAAAAAACAGTAGCAAAACGCCTTTTTGATTCGCAGTATATTTTTACAGTAACTAAACGTCAATATGTCAATACAACACATGCAAACAAAAATTTTACATAAAAAAATATAGTCGGCGGTTCCGACGATAACTGGAACTACCAAATATTAATCAGAACGTAAATATGTCAATGAGCGAATACATTTAAAATGAATGAGAGTGTTGAAATTCGCATCCAATAATTGTTCATTTGATTGTTCATTTCAATTTCAAGGCACGAATATCAAAGTGAATAGTTTCACTTCTGGACGAAGAACATAAAAAAAATTATATAAGGTAAAAAACCAATTTTCAACTATTTCTGGTCGAAAAATAAATATTTTGAATGAAAAATGTTTTTTTTTTAAATCGTTAAAGACCTAGTTCAGTTAGTTTGTTTGCAATAAAATTTTTATAACATAATAGGGGCAACCCCGGGTTCGCTCGCTTACACAATCCACACAATTCTTCTTCAACTTTGCGTTGATACTGAAATGGATGATAAAATACAAACTGCTTAGGCAACAACAAATTCATACAATTGATGTCATTGATACTGTCATCCGTTTAATGTTATTAGAAGTAGTAGTTATTAGAACAGAAGAACACCCGATATTTTATTTTCTGTGCCTCTTCTTCTTTCTCTAACACACACAAAAGTTTGCTGCTGCGTTGCCGCTCATGTATTGTATTACAGTGGTTGGCGCCAATACAGTGTTCCGTTTTGCATACTGTATACGCACACAAAAACACTGCAAAAATGTGAATGTGTGCGTGCCGACCACAGTAATAGAGAGATGTATGCATGTACCATATAAACAATATCTTCTAAGTTATTTAAAGTTTCAGAAAATAAAATATCGGACGGCGACCCAAAAAAACCAAAGCACAGAAAATAAAATAACGGGCGGTTTTAAAGTTTCGGACCCGAAGCTGGAAAAGAATTTCTTGGATTTATTTGGCTGTCATTATCTGATCATCTCGTGCATACAGAAGTTACATACATAAATACGTTAATTGCAAAAAATTGGGTTGGAAAAATAAGCCAGAAAAATGCTTTAAATCTTTAAATTTAAATCAAATTATTTATAAGCACAAAATCTAGGTTTTTTCTGGATCCTGTGCTTAGTATCTAAGATCCCGGTGCTTAAAAGCTAGACGGACTAATCTGTTGATATTTCCCGAATATCGCCTAGTATCACATAAAAAAAAGAAAAACTGACCTTAGAAGAAACTAAAAATTTAGTTTATATTTTTACAAATATACTTTTGAAACGGAATCCAATCCAAGTAAAGATATTGTTTTTCTTCATTATTGCTGTAATAACCATCCGTACGCGACGATATGGTGGATCGGATAGATAACGTCATATAGATATAATTATAGATTATAGTCTATTAGCCATGATCCGGTTTTCTCAATCTTTTACGATTACCATTTAAACAATTTTCGTACGAATCCGTACCCTCCATTTTTTGCAACTGTTTACTATTGATATTGTTGTATTCCCAAATTGTTTTCAGATATTTATAGGACAAACAAAATCTACAAACAAAAAACAAAAAAAAAAATGTATGACTCTTACGATTTGCGAGAACTCGAGCACGAAATTTTGCAATATGCGATGACCGATGCACGGCACTATATTTACACGCAATTGGCAACTGTGCGAGTTTCACATCTTTAAACTAGTTGGAAACACAGATTTTCAGACTTAAAAACTTAAAAAGAACAGAAAATATTGACGGAAATTTTTCACGAATACATATACCAAACTAGGGTCTTAACTTTAAAGCCTATCAGTACATTTCACAATCACTTTAGTAATGAATCCATATAAGCTGGGAGGCTTGATCATCAAACATGTAATGTAAACCATTCACAGGTGTTGGACTTTTTGTACGACGATATGACAAAGGGAGAGTGACGGTGTTCTGCGAGAAAAATCTAACAGTGAACACCTGCGTATGCCAAAATTTTTATTATTATTATAATTTATATTATATATTATTAATCAAAAACACGTTGGTAAAAATTTACTTGTGGCAAGTAGTTGGTATAACCACCAAAAATTATTATTGAACTTTCGTTCTTCCTTACTAAACGGTGGACGGATGGACGGAGAAGGCCGACTGCAGGCATATTTACAATTAATATTTTCGTTTTCATAATTTCATATCAACTAGTACGCAAAATTAGGCAAAAAAAGCTATTGTGTAAAATTGAGCGTGGTGCACACAAAAATATGAATAATTAAAAGTTTAATCATTTCGATGTTTATGTTTTCATTTTAGCGAGGTATAACGTTTTTTAATAAATATTTTGATAGAGCGAAGAGCGAAAAAATAATAAACACAAAATTAACTTGAAAACTTCACAGAAACAGAATAAATATATCAATATTAAATATCGCTAACAAACAGAAAAACTCAACTTTAACACATAAATAAGTTTAACAACATACAAAATTGTATCATAGGCATATTATAAACATCGAATCGAACGAACAACAAGATACACCTAAAACAAAACGCATATCAGGGTTTGACAAATCCATATCATTTGACATATTAACACATCTAACATGGATATAAAATATAAAATCAATTAAATAATGTAGTTTAGGAACATGTAAATACATACTAATAATGTTACCAATTAAGTAAGAAGAATAAGTCTGATTTGGTAAGCTATCTGACATCAAATTGAACATTAACTTAGCTTGGCTGATTGGTTTTACTATACGACATACACTGACGAGCCAAACTGTAACACAATTTGAGTACTATAAAATTCACGGTCTGTATCTTGTCATCTATTTTATGCATTCTAAAGATTTTAGTCTTGTTTTGTTGGTGAAACCAAAATGTAAAAAAAATTCAAATGTTACAGTTTTGCCCTGCGGTTATATTTTAAAAAAATATTTTTATAAATAATTTTTAAATGTTTCCTTCCATAACCCATTTAGATTTGTTAGTTCTCCTGTAATTTTGTGGGTGTAGCGTTGCACCATTGCAGGATGAATAGCGTACCATACATCCTTTTCCTCTTTCACAACTCCATCATTGCACTTGGAAAGACCGCATATTTCACCAGCTGCGATTTTAGAGGGCTTTATACATTTTTAAATAACATTCATAGATGGAATAGTGTGAAAGGAGCAATATTGAAGCATTATGCAACAGAATCTTCCAGTATATGGGTCTTGCTGCTAAAAAATTCATTTTTAAGCAAGACAATGACCAAAAACACTCGTCCTTTTTGGACGATCATGTCTCCCGATATGAATTTTATTTAAAATCTATGGAGCCATCTAAAATCGCAGCTAGTGAAATATGCGGTCCCTCCAAGTGCAATGATGGAGTTGTGGGATAGGAAGAGGATGTATGTATGGTACGCTTTCCCCATACACCTACAAAATGCCAAATCGCATAGAAGAACTAAAAAAATTAAATGGGCTGTGGAAGGAAACATTATTTATAAAAATATTTGTTTAAAATATATGCGCAGTGAAAAACTGTAACATTTGACTTTTTTACATTTTGGTTTGGCATATTTCGTCCGGCTTATCAAATGGCTTAAAATTTTCAAACACACATAGTTAAATGATTCACCAACAAAACAAGACTAGGATCATTAGCATTCATAAAGACCGATGAAGTGAGACTTCTGAATTCGTGTTACAGTTTTGTTTAGTTTTGTTTTCTTTTGTGTAGTTATCAAATTTCAATCGATATTTGATTATTATTTAAAAACGTATTATTATTTTGATGGCCGAATTATGTTTTTTGACTCGAAGCGACTGACATAAAAGATGCATTCTTTGGAGAATACAAATATATACATTCATTCGATAAAATAAAAAAACTTTCTTAATGACATGCATTTTAGTAAGTATTTAGGAAAATTAAATATGCAAAACACTTACAAATATGCGAACCACTCCCTAGTGATAACATTTACTTCAAACACTCTATCTAATTCGCAAACCCTGATATACATTTGTTTAAAATATTTTCTGTTTTTTTTTATTTACTGGTCTGCGCAGATGTGATTTTATGGTGGCTCATCTGCTGTAAAGGTAAATGTTATCCTGGATTCACTGATGTTTTCAATTCGTCTCAGCATTCAAGTGTGCACTTCTACAAATTAACATATGTTGGTGGTGCCTGCGGGGACAGCTGCTGCGAACCAGCGCTAGTCGCGCCACCCCCACTTCCGGCGCTGGCTGTTATACCATTTAAAGGTGCTAATCCATTTCCATTACTGTTAGCCATCATTTGTGCATGTGTATGAGAAGACGAGGTGGATGATGATGAGGAGGACGAAGATGACGAATTGGGCAGCATTACAGTACCCCCTATGCCACTTACAATTGGTGCCAGCATGCCAACACTTATGCTGCTGACTGCTGCACCACTGCCGATGCCAACGCTGCCGCCACTGTTGCTTACAGTTGGAATGACACCCAAACTGGGACTGAATTATCGGTAAAGTCGAGGTCAATTAAATGTCCAAAATTGATATGAATAACCGTCAGCATTAAGAAGAGAAAAGGGGTAATCAAAAACATCAAAATCATTTTATCATCTGTTATATTTCATTTTATCAGTGTGTATGTGTTGTGTATTTTTTTTCAGATAAAACAACAAAAACGTAAAAACAAAAAGATAAATAAACCGACAAAGCAATTTTCAAAGACTAAAACTTTTATTTTATTTAACAGTTTTTTTTTTAAAAATGTTTTAGTCGATTGAAAAAAATGATTGAACCTAAACGTTGTACCTTTACGGAAAATGAAGTCTTATAACTTAAAATTAATTTTCTTTAGTCTGCGATCAATGCATAAATAAATGAAACAAAATAAAAATAATATTTCATTATTAAATAAATATTTTTAGATTTCCCCAACATAAACGAATATAAATATATTGATCTCAATTGGCCCATCCGTACATAATTTATGTATAAATGAAAGATGAACTCAAGGTCTTGTTAGAGGTGCAGACGAGGGTGGTGTAAGTTTATAGGGGGCGTTCCATGCAATTACATTTGATCTACTGATCGTGTAGGCTTTTTGTTATTAATATTAATAGTGACAGGTGTTATAGTTTTGTGTACCTATTTATTTCATGATTATGGCAGTTTTTAGGAACACTAAATTTAGCATATACATAATGGAATGTGCATTGCTTGTATCTGTTTTCTTTTACATATTCCAACCTATTAAGTCATTATGTGTAAAATTAATATAGATAAAGTATTATCTATTAAATTTACAAAACTTACAAAACTCACGCAAGATTTAAATTTCTCATAAGATTTCTGGTTGTCTTTTACATTTTTGTTAATATATAACCTCTAAATACTGATAAACAAAAATGTATAATATTTTTGTATTTTTGATACAAAAATTTTCTGATTTTTTCCCCCTACTCATATGATATATTTTCTCAAAGACTTCAAAAGAGGACACCTTTTTTTTATTGATTCACTTTACATTCAAACCTAGTCTTTTGATTGATGCATTTGTACTTCTTCTTTGATGATGTCTCTCTTCTTTGCGCATTGGCCAGGTTTAAGCAAGATAGCACATTCAAAAAAGCTTTTCAGCTTTTCGATCGCTTAATGTTATTCCATCGATTTTATCGACTTTTTTTGGCGGTAGTCAAGATCTTGCAGATCGTTCAGCCACGTTTAAATTCATAAACCACTACCACTTCAAGGCCAGTATGTGAATAGTCAAAACAGTCATACATAAAAATCAATTTGAGCTAGTGTTGAAAGCACTAGTCAACGTTATTTTTATACCCGTACTCGAAGAGTTAAGGGTGTATTGCATTTGTGGTAAACGTGGGTGTGTGTAACGCAGAGAAGGAAACGTTTCCGACCCCATAAAGTTAATATATTCTTGATCAGCATCAATAGTCGAGTCGATATAGCCATGTCTGTCTGTCCGTCCTCTGTCTGTTCGTTTTGTTTGACGCCTAGTTCTCAGACACTATAAGAGCTAGGGCATCCAAATTTGGTTTCCAGACTCATGTGATATCACACTGCTACAAGTGTATTTCAAAACAGACAGACGGACAGACAGACATGGCTATATCGACTCGACTATTGATGCTGATCAAGAATATACTTTATGGGGTCGGAAACGTTTCCTTCTCTGCGTTACACACATCCACTTTTACCACAAATCTAATATACCCCTTAACTCTTTTTTGAGTACGGGTATAAAAAAAATAAAAATATTTTAAAATTCTACATAAATCATAAGCTCACATATTTATATACTGACTTGTTACGGGTATAAAAGTAGAATCGCGTCCACAGAAGCGACTCACACGTTCCTTCCCGTTTATATTTAAAATCTAAGAAATGTAATCCTCCTTTGTGAAGTGAAACTTTTTACAGAGCTTTAGATCAAGTTACTTAATTCAGTATGTTGTGTTATTAATCAACTTTTTTTCTTTTGTCGCTTTTTGAGAAAAAAATCAAACACTAGCACGAAATCCCTAAATATACAGCATGGGTGTAACACCTATAAATTTTACTCAAAATTGTGATTCTACAAATATTAATTGTCTTAATTCAGAAAATATCCAAAAATGTCATTTCAAAGAAATAACACCAACCAACACAACACCTTTCCACCTTGTTATCGAAAAATATCCAAAAATATCATTATATCCTTGGGCAGGCAACTTATCTGCATTACATAAGCTTGAAGAAAAGTGTCCAACGCAGCACACAACGGAAATAATACTATTTATCTCAGCAAGGACTATACAATAAATACCAAGATGTTGCATGAGCGATCAAAAATCTGTTCTATGGCGGGGTTTTTTATTATGCCTTACATACAGAGGGAGTGCGCAGGTTTTCAGTCCTCTTTTAGCATATGCCATTCAGAGCATAAAAGAGAATTAAAGAAATAGCACCGCGTGCCCGTACCCTGAAGCGTCAAACCAAAATTGAAAGGCATTTGTTCCTTCTGCAATGTCATTGTAATATGTCATATGTCTTTGATATTTCTAATCGGATTATTTGAACCAAAGAGTTCATATGTATATGACTACAAAACCAGGAGTACTGTATACTTTTTAACCGGTAAGAAAGCTAAATTAAATGAAATATTTAGAATTAAAACTCTTGCGTGAATCTTGAAATGTCTTTTATATACACTTTATATGTCAGTGTTTACCGGAAACAAAAGTAACATTAAACGTACCTGCACGGCTTGCACCATTGATTTTGCTGGTCCAGTCCAAATCGAGCTCGGCACTTTTTCATGTTATTACCTAAGAAAACCATGAAATATTTTTAGATGGACTTCAACAGAAGAATTTTGGATTATTTAATAGAAATAGATGATTTGTTAGTGAGCCATTTATTAGTTTTTAGGTTTAATGAATTATCAAACATATAAAAGAGGATGATTTCAAGGGTCAAAAATTAAAAAAGAAGTAAAGAATAATGAAAGCACGCGGTTGATAGTGAAATTTTTTGAGCATTTGTTTGCCGTTCTAATATAGATCTATAAACACTTACTGATATAAAACATACAATAGATTAAGAATATGTAGCCATTTTAAAGGATTTATAAATACATAACAATCGTATTACATGCATGAATACCTACTATAATACTTGAAATAACAATAAATAAAACTTATGATATGAAAACATAAAATGCATTTCTGTTTTAGACATGCTCAAAGTATAATTATACCTTCATTATACACAAAAGATGAGTATGAAAGCACATTTTGATAATTTTATACAAAAACAACATTAGATACAATACAAGTTTTATAATTGTATTCGTATCTTCAACGACACAATTATGTTCGATTTGTACCGGTAAATATACATATGCATTTGCTGTTGAAATATAAAACCCGGTTTAGATTTAGAACCAGATTTTTATTAAATTTTGGCGTATATTACCACTGCTTGTAGCCAAGACTAAATTTAGTTTCCTGAACATATTTGATTTAAAAGGTTTATTAAAATAGAATCCAATTGCAAAACCTGGCTCTTAATAAAAAAAAAAAAACATGTTAGCATACATATATGTACAAGTAATATTTACATGTACATATACTGTTATTACTAAAGTCATTTTTATTTTTGAACGCATATAAAACTAAAGATTTACATCTAATAGATGTGCTTTCTTTAAGTTGATCTGATCTGGATTTGGTTAAACTGATTTGATATGATGTATATTCGTACAATAGTTTAAGAAAATTTGTCTAACCTCCGTCGTGGGCATCTTGCTTCCGCTTCCGTTTCTTGCCGCGCGAGGCATTCGTACGAGAGCTCCAATCGGGATACATTTGCATGTGCAGTTGACGCTCACGCCGTGCCAACTCGTAATACTTCGCCTGCTCCTCACGCCCCAAGGCATGCCACTGGGTGTGGGATTAAAGCGTTGTTTCACGAAAATAATATTATGTAATAGTTGTATGCAAAAGGTATCGGGATAAGTACTTTTTATGCAATATGTTTAAACCAGTTAATCAATTTACTTCACTTTTCATTATGAGACATACATATACATATATATCAGAATATACATATAGTTTTCGTATGTATAAAATATAAAATATATAAATGGTTATCTTCATCTATATGATAGGTATGTATATGTACTGCAATATGTTTAAACTAATTAATCAATCTTCTTTATATTAAATTATGATATATATATATATGTATACATATGTATTTATATTACTCGCGATTTCCTAACGCAAGAACAACGCCCCATTAATTCACGAAGCAAGGACATGCCCAATACCATATATATGTTATTTTAATATACGATTCGTAGCGCCAGAAATTTAAAAGCTTCGACGGATCGATCTTCAAGACGGTTTCGGGTGCATGCATTCGCCAATTCTGGTCGAGACGTTCAGTTTTTAAGTTCATATGCATGATTCTTATACTAAAGAATCAATAGAAATGAAAGCTTTAAACGAAATGGAATGTTTTTATTGTTCTCTTTTCTCATAATTTTGAATACTTTGCCAATTTATTTGTTTAACTTATGGAGTTTGTGTGTTGTACATGTGTTGCTATGCTAATTTAAAACTTCATCAGAATAACCTGCCCTTTATAAATAAAGTGGTTATTAAATGTATTATATCATTATTTAAATATTCAATAAAATCTAATAAGACAAGAGACAAAGTATTTTTTCTATTGTAGCCATTGTTACAAACATTAAATTCTATAGCTTGACCAATAGAGATTTAATATTGAGCCGATTGGGCACTGCTTAACTAAAACTTGGCTCCACTAAACTGAGTGTAAATAGTGACTCAAATATATTTTTATAAAAAGGATACTTTTGAAAAAAAATGTATTAGCGGTTCTTTAATTTATTGTTTCGATTTTGCAAGGTTAAAACATGTACTATAATTTTTTGTTATCTCTACTAAAAATGGCACTCAGTTTCCATTATCTGTGAAATTCCATTAACAAATGTTTTGTTGTATTGTTCAGGTTTATTTTAACTAACTATACTTGATCTAGGCTCGTCTAAAATTACCTTCAAAGCTACAAAAGCAATGTTGTACATTTGCCAAGTGTTGATTTTTGTTATCATTCTTTACATACTGGTAAGTTACGGAACTTTACGAACGTTAAATATAATCTAAGTATTTACACAAATTACATAGATATAGGTAAATTTTTAAGTTACTGTTATTTCTAATTTGGGTGGGTTAGTTGTTGATGTTAGATGTGTGCTTGAGGTTTTGTGTGAGTGTAAGTGATTTAATGAAATCGAAAAACATAAAAGTGGAATGCAGTTAGAAGGAAACGAGTGTAACAATTTGACAATTTTGTGCAATACCTCCCGAATCCGTTGTCGATCTGTCTTTTTTACGCTTTTTCTTTTTTGACACGTAACCGTAGTTATCTCGTGCGCTCCACCCCGGATACAATTCCATATGTAATTGACGCTCTTGCCGAGCCTTTTCGTAATATTTGCTTTGTTCTTCACGGGAAAGTTCGTGCCACTACAAATGCATTATTAAGGAGGAATCCGTTAGAAATAATTTGTACAAACAGGAATGTTTTTTCGCAAAAATAATAAAAGTAATATAAATTTTAGGTAAAGTTTCATATTTTTCACGAAGATCCGGCGCTTATTTGTGTTAAAAAAATATTTTACGTCAGTGTGTCCCCTGTCAAACATCCCCTTAAAAATTTCAAAGATATATAATTCCTGCGCTGTTGTCAATGGGATCAATTCTTTGGAAAACTATAACTGCATATAAATACGATATGTTTAAAATAGAATGGTGTTAAGTGGCTTACCCGTCGCCCTAAAATTTGATTGATTGCAGCTGATTCTTTCAGCGTACATTCGGCGACTACTTTGGCTCGCATCTCCTTCATGTAAAGCATGAACGCATTCAACGGTTTCTTGATATGTGGTTTCTTTTTATCATTTGAGCTATCTTTACAGTCAATAGATTGCGTATTCGATGAGTTTTTTGAATCCAAGTTTCTGAAAGTCAAACCATGATATTTATTACAAACACTTAAAAAGTGTATAGAGTGTAAAGTAAAATAAGTGTAAAATGTAGATTAGAATAAAGAGTCACATAAGAGTTATTAACGAGTCATTAACGTCTCAAATTGGCTGTTACGTTACACAAATTAGGAAGTAGGTTTTCAAGTTGCGCAACACTTTCGAAAAAGTCTGCAGTTCTGGTTGACTATTTTTAACGAGTACTAAAACATTTTGTAGCTTAAGGATGGAAGTAATAAATTAAACTTTAGTTAGGCCAAAAACTACTTTTTTTTTTTCGTTTTTGACAAGCAACAAGGTGCGGACTGTTGCCTTACATAAAAATACTGTTACGTTACATGTGCGAATTTCGTTTATTAAACTTTACGAAAAATTATTTTTAAACTGAAAAACAAATAAAATTATAGATTTTATGCGTGTTTTGAAGTATTAAAACTCCATTATAAACTTGAAATTGACACTTTTCGCGCTATTAACATCGCAGGTGTGTTCAAAATTTAGTTTATATCAGAATAATCACAATCTGTAACCTCTTCGATGGGGATTTTCGATTCTGAACGATCCTTTTAATAGTTGCGCCAATACCATCGATACAACTTTCCCGTTGGAGGTCGCAAAAAAGTTTCAGTCGATTTTTATAAGTTTTTTTTTCTTTTGAGGATTGTTTATTTTTATTTAAACATGAGAAGTATGTTTGAGTTTAATAAATAAATATAATATCAAAATATTTGATTAATGATGAAAAAGACTGTTACGTTACATATAGAACTCGTCTCAGAACAAAGACAGAAATGAATATAACGCTGATTTAATGTTTTATTGCAAAAGTAGTCTAATAATGCTTAAAAAGTAAGTTTTTTTTTTGTTAATATAATCGATTTTTCATAAAAAAACTATTCATAATCTGTGACTGTTGGGTTACACTAAAAATTGCGGTAGAAATTTTGTTCATTACAAAGGCAGCCAACATTTTTTCTGTCAAATATTTCATTAAGTTAATTTCTAAATAAGCGATTTTGACCATATGCAAAAAAGTTAATTTCATGTGCTCGCTCACACACTCTGCCTTGTGCAGTGTGCGCCCTCTGAGGAGAAGGAGAAGAACTAGCTGGAACGTCTTGGTATGAGAAGAGAAAGGCCGATGTAGCGGAATACAAAAAAATAGCCGAAAAATGGAAACAGATGAAATATTCTTAAATCTGAATGACAGTGTATCCGCGCGTGCCATAAGAATAAGCGCTAAAAAATGTATGAATGATGATGATAAAAATTCCTACTTAAAGGCCTATCTCCAGCACCTCGGAAAATTGCGGCAAGGAATTTTCTAGTTGTAACAGGGTTGATGAATCAGCTGTGTTTTGTAAAGCCTAGTACTCAGATCGAAAAAAACACCTCTCGAACAGAATCAGGGTTGATATTCGTATGAAACCGATAAGAAATGTTTTACGGCAAAAACTGTTTTCTAGGCTCTGTACGGAAGGCAGTACTCAGATCAAAAAACAAAAAGGTCTGTATATACTGGAAAAGTATCCGAAGTATATGCTTGTTTTTTTGGTATGTTTAGACCCACCTCGAAAAAGATATCAATTTGATATAATTTGCCAGCAAACACGATGCAAACATTGCAATAAGAGCGGCCCCAGCCGAAGAAGTGCATTTTATTAACTTTAAACAAAACCAAGCAGCTGTCTGAGCAGAGTAACCGTTCGGAATGCAGTGCACACCTCTGGTCACACACTGGCTGCTCGAAGAATATATGACATTCGTTTGATGGCAAACAGTTTTCGATCTGAGTACTAGGCTTAAACAGAGGCAACTGTAAAATTCTGTTAAAATTAAAAAAGGAACAAAATGCACTCTGATGATGAAGTGATTGTGTTGGTGACGGCATACAGTGGGGAGCAAAAGTGAGTACATACTCATAACCACTGACTTTCGCCTCCCATAACAGCTAAACGAATAAAGCAAAGTAAACCAAATATTTTTCATATATCAATTAATTTATTCTTAGAAAATAGGTAATAACAACAGAAACAGATGGGAAGCTTTCTTAGAGAAAAAAATAGAAAACCAAAACAACTCGCATGTACTCAGTTTTGACCTTTTTACAAACATCTAAGATTAAATTAAAATCAATTAAACTTAATATTTTGTCCATAGACCCTTGTGAGAAATGACATTATTAATACGCTTTGGCATACTCTCTACCAAGTTCTCAATAATGTCTTTCGGAATACGATTCCATTCCATCTGTACACGGACCCAGAGGTCGCCTAAGTTAGATGGGGCTGATTCGTACTTCCCTAGCCGTCGTTTCACGATTGACCATAGGTTTTCAATCGGATTGAGGTCAGGACTTTGAGCCCCAAACCATGATATTGCCGCCACCATGTTTCACGGTTTGCTTAACATGATGTCTTTGCAGTTTTTCTCCGGGCCTACGCCAACAATACTGCTTCCCATCCGATTGATAACGGTTGAATTTTGACTCATCAGACCAGATTACGCGTTTCCAGTCATCCTTCGTCCAATTTTTATGCTCCCTTGCAAATTTCAACCTTGCTTTGACATTTTTTTCCGACAATGCTGGTTTTTTTTTCTTAGCGGCTGCAATGTACCCAATGTTGTGAAGCGCTCTTCTGGCTGTCGAGCGGCTAACATTTTTGTTTATTGCCATAGAAGCATCTTTTGGTGTTAGTAACTTATTTTTCCTCATTTCCGAAATCATAAGTCTAGCTTCTGAGTCTGTTAACTTCTTAGGGCGGCCTTGGACTTGCTGTTTGGGGACAACATTACGCCTCTTTTGCACTCTGATCACCACCGATTGACTAATTCCATGCTTTTTAGCAATAGTACGTGTCGAACACCCACTTTTAGTAAGGCACACAACACTTATTTCAATTTCAAGAGATAGTTTTCTCATTTTCAGGTACAAAGTATAAACAATTTAGTAAATTCAATAAATCTGCACCGACTTGTAAGAAGCACGTCTTAAATTAAAGTATGTTTGACAAGAACACAAAAAGAAGAGATTTAACTCTAAATCTTCAAGCTTTTTGCTGATAAGAAACTTGAGAGCGCGAAAAAAAGTGCAATAGACGAAAAGTTCAAAGCTGAGTACATGCGAGTTGTTTTGGTTTTCTATTTTTCTCTCTATGAAAGCTTCCCATCTGTTTCTGTTGTTATTACCTATTTTCTAAGAAGAAATTAATTGATATATGAAAAATATTTGGATTACTTTGCTTTATTCGTTTAGCTGTTATGGGAGGCGAAATTCAGTGGTTATGAGTATGTACTCACTCACTTTTGCTCCCCACTGTATATTGTTGCAAAACAAAAAAGAATAATTTTCATGTTTCTTTTTGGTTTTGCAGACAGTTTTTGCCTACATCTTGCACACTGAATACACACTCCAGGAATACGTAAACGAAACATTCCTGTCACAGTTTTTTTTATATGGAGTTTGACAGGAATTTTTCAATTCAATTTATGCTTAAAATAAGATTTTTGTCAAATTCGGACACCTATATACATATGTACATATTGGCATTTCTCTGAAGTCGAACGGGACAGTCGTACACATTGCAAGTCGTAGAAAGTTCAAAATAAGACGGATTTTCAAAATGGTTTGTTTTTTGTTTTAGAACATTTTATCTGTTTCCAATTTTTCGGCCCTATGAGTGGTGCTAAGGTCGATTTTGGGCAACTATTCGCTTTTGCGATTTTTTTAAAAAAAACAAAGCCATTCGCAAGGGGAAAAATATGGAAGTGGTTTTCGCGGAGATCAATTCAAACTCAGATTTCAGCGAAAGTTGTGCATTGATATCTCTTTTAAATGGTTCCAATTATACGCAAATATGATTTGTAGGTTTTATACCCGTACTCAAAAAGAGTTAAGGGGTGTATTGTATTTGTGTTAAAAGTGGATGTTTGAAACGCAGAGAAGGAAACGTTTCCGACTCCATAAAGTATGTATATTCTTGATCAGCATCAATAGTCGAGTCGATATAGCCATGTCCGTTTGTCCGTCCGTCTAGATGAGCGCCTAGATCTCAGAAAGTATATGAGCTAGAGCAACCAAATTTTGTTTCCAGACTCATGTGATATCACACTGCTACAAGTGTATTTCAAAATTTCGCCCCGCCCCCTTCCGCCCACACAAAGGACGAAATTCTCTGCCAGGCACAACTTTAAAGATACGATAAAACAAAAAACGCTGTATCATATAGAATGACCATATCTACCAGATTGTTGAATCTGAATCAGATCTGATCATAATTATAGCCAGAATGAAGAAATTTTCGGTTGCTTCTCCCGCCTCCTTCAGCAAGAGACCCGCTACTCGTTCTCTTTCTCGCTCACACACTCTGCCTCGTTATGTACGCGAGCGCCCTCTAGCGGAGATGTAGAATCTACATGTTCGATTTATAATATACATAGTAGATATAGATAACAGATGTAGCAAAAAAAAAATGTAAATGTAAAAAATGTATATGTCAATTGGGTAAATTAGTTGTCGTTCATAAAATTGAGACTGTAATATCGCAACAGAATTATATGGAAATGCGTTTTTATAGACATTTAATTTTTTGGTCACGGTAAGCCTCGTTAGAGAAATGCCCATATGGAAGCATTGGTCGAGTATATAAAACTTCGGCGCGCCGAAACTAGGCTCATTACTGGTTAAATATTCTTTGTCTTTGAAAATAATTTAAAGCTTCGTAGTTCACAGATTAAATTCAAAAACTAATAAAGTTTCATGCTTAAATATTGTTTATCTACATATTGTCTTCAAAGATTTTTAAATTACATGTTTTTAAGCTTGGTTCCAATGCTAAGATCATACGGAGCATCTGGTACGGGTTCACCTTCGCACTTGTCGCTGGTAGTGCATCCACCTCCGTTGTCGATAACTGCAGCTGCTGTCAAAGCGCTCAGTCGTGCTTTGAACATACTAGTTAGGGCACGTTCCTGCAGAGCGGTTACGGCGGCAATAGCCGAAGATGCACCTTGAACAATTGGAGGAGATGGTGTAGATGTCGCTCCTGTTATTGCGGTTGTAATTGATGGTGGTGTGGGTAAGGTTCTATCTATGACGTTATAAATAGTTCCCGTTTGGTGACTGCGAGAATATTCCTTATTGCACCTGCCTTTTAATAAAGTTGTTTTAGGAGAAGACGTTGGCGGAGTTTCGATGCGGCGTGCGTATCGAGATTTTCTTCGACTGTTATTCAACGGACATGAAACAGGAATATTTCCAGTCGAGCAGCTACTATTACTGCTTGTCGGTGGAGTAGAAGGTGCTGCAGGAAACTGGATGTCGGCAAAATAGCCAGATTCGTTGACATTTGGAACAGCTAAACCGTCGCTGCTATTTTTAAGTGGACTCATATTCAATGCACGGTAGCTGTCAACAGAATCTAAAATATTTGCCCGAGCTTTGGCGCCAGCAGTAGTGAAATTATCAGGGATTTGTAGAGCATTTGTTTTAGACGCGTACTCCAAAATAATTTCAGCCGCAGTGCTACAATTTTCGACTTCTTCCTTAAATCGAGTGTCTCGATTTTTCGGATGCCATATGCACGTGGGCGATGGTATTGATTTTTCGCCTTCGCTATTATCACTATCACTGCAACCATTGAGTGTGCTACTGGACAGACTCCCCTGATGTTCAAGAACGGTTGAGGCCTTTTGTAGGATTATGTTCTCTATTTCATGCAGCGTTCTGGGTTTTTCTTTAGTTAATAAAAATTCAGACTCACTTGTGTTCACTTGATGCTTTAAGTCGCTTAAGTCAATTTGAGCATCGTTTTTTTTAAGTTTAAGCTCACTTTCTACGGACAACGCAATCGCAGCCAAAGCCATTATAGTATGTGTTGGCGTAGGACTAAAACCATTACCATCCTCTGAACTGAGTCCCAAACGTTGCAAGCTGCGCAGGTAATAGAGTTCTGCACTGTTCCATTGATGATGAAGTCGCTTTATTTGATCCAAAATGTCTTCAATTGTCTTGCAGTTTCCATTTAATTGGCGTCGTACAGTGGCTTCTAGGGACGAATCGGTAGATTTAGTCGCATTTTGGCGGTGACGTACACTGACGTTATCCCGAAATTGACCAGAAAGTAAGGTGAGTTGTTCTAAGCTTCTTTTCACATCGGCAAGCAGGATTTTATGCTCCCGAAATAAATAACAGGTGGATTTCAGGTGATCCTTTGTGTTTTCACCACGCTTCGAGTAATGTTCTGTGTTATTTGATTTGAAAGTATCTTCTAGTTCTTCAATTTGCTGTCCCAGATTGCTGTGACTTTGTTGAAACTGGGGAAAATCTAATAAGAGTTCTTCTCCAAATCTTAATCCGTTTTCTACGTCATTCAGCATCTCATTGTTGTTGTTATTATCCTGCGAAGATGGGGTTGGTGGCAGATCCTCTTGTCGAATACTTAATTTCTTTGATACCGAAAAATCAATCATATGCGTAGTGCGTTCGGAGACTCTCTCTGATTCTGTTTCCCGTTCCGTTAATTTAGGCTGTACAAATTCAGCAAAATGTCGAGTTAAAAATGGATTTTGGGAGAATTTCTGGTGAGTCAGCAGGTTATTATTGTATACGTAGGATAAGAGTTCTCGATTGCGATTGAACTCTTGCTCGAGCTCTTGATTGCTCCCTGTCTCATCCACTTTTTGCATATTTTGGGTAACGACGTTCGGCTGTCTTAAAAGAACTTCCGCTACAGCCGATGTAGGCGACATTCCAGAATCCAACGTGCTTGTTGGAGCACAAAAAAGATGTTGCAGAAGGTTGAGGCTTGGTTTTTTAACAGTGTTGGAAGTTAATGAACCATATTCGCCATATGTGTTTCGAAAAGTGTCCAAGTAGCTTTTTTTCATAATTTCATTAATATCAGTTATACTTGAATTCGATATCTCTGTTGTTGAGGACGTGGCGGAAGCTGTTTCGATTGATGTGTTTTTCAGATTTGAATATATTTTATTATTTGCATCATAGACCCTGTTAATTTTTTTGTCATTATTATTGTGCAGTGCTCCCTCAGATATATGGTTCATTTTATTGATTGGCTCCGCCAGCTCAGATGACTCAGCTTCAATGGATACTCCAAAATGTGGCACTATATGTATTCGCATAGAGCTACTGTATTGATCCGATGGATTTGGGTGTGCATTGCTTCCGAGCCGGTACGACTGCGGATTTAGAATTTCTGCCACATTTGTTTGCGGCGGATTTGGTACTATAAAGTCTACTTCTGAATTTAAATTTGTTCTAAATTTTGTAGTCAATTTGGAATCAACATCCACGTTCATATGCTTTGTTAACTGATGTGATTGCGATTTTGCCTCAAATGACATTTGAACATTTATAGTTTAGCACACTTTGTTAAATTTAACCAATGATTTATTGCTTTTCAAAGATATGAACTTATATATAATTGTTGTTGACAATCGGTTTTATCCATATTTTTTATTGATCAAAAATGTCAATTTGTTGTTTTAATAAATAAAACAGGATATTCGCTAACTAAAAATCGGACGAAATGTAACATTTTTTTACATTTTTTTTAATAAAATTTTACATGTAGTATTATAATTAATTCAATTGTTTACTTGCACTGATATAAACTCATTCAATTTCTGTGATGTATCTAGAAAGCTCTCACTGTTCTCTTGCACTTGGTAATCGACAGGCGCAATGACCGTAACAAATTAACCAGGTTTCCGCCTGTTGCAAATTCGAATGAAATACACGACGCATATTTGTATATAATTCTACACTACATTTTATTCTGGTACGATTGTTCATAAAATAATCTTTTTTTTTAAACTATGCCCGCAAGCTTTTATGAACTATTCAATTTAAAGATACTATCGTTTCACTTGCACGTATGTATGTATGTTTTTTTAGACTTAGCTCAGGCAGAGATTAATATAGTTTCCATTTGCTCTTGCTTCCGAATGTATTGCTGACATATGGTGGTGTGTGTATGTAATATTTAAACCCGATTATCGCCCGTAAAAATGTATATTGATTTTATCATACGATTTTGTGAAGATTTATAAAGTTTATATGAAAACCGAAAATTTCATTTCGAAAATATGTATTTTATAATATGCACTTTTTGAGGATGTTAACTAATATACAAAGATATATTTGTCAAATATTACACTTTAAAAACTACAAAATTTGTTAAATTTCGCACAAAACTATACAACGGAGGATGTTTAATTATTAAATATTTCTGATAACAGGCCACTGTTATATTGTGTATACAACAGAGATTTAACTTTGTCCTTCTTTCGTCTATGCTACCATTTTTTAATAAGAGTCCAACACAAGCAATCGTTTTTGTGATTCACGATTTCTTATTTAATTGTGGTATAATTCGTCTTTGAGTTTGTTTAAATTAAATTCGGGTGTTTTGTGGTGAAAGGTTTTAAATGCCCTATAGTCTTTTGTTATAAGGATGTTCGAAAATGTGTATATACTGCCAAAACATTTTGACGAATTACACTCGCCTTAAAATTATAAGTTTACGATGACTGCGAACGTCGTTTTATATCGACTCTCCACGTTGGAGAGGCCGAGGCCGATGGGTACATGTGCCATGATAGAAAATGCGCAAGGAATTGTGCGCAGAAGTTTAATGTAAAATTTCTCTGAGAATTTTTATAAGATACATTTTCTCTCTCAGCAAATGAGTATCTATCTATTCGTAAAATAAATATAAAATTTAAGACTCCTTCATCCTTTTCGTATTTTGTTATTTTAAAAAATAAAAGTAGGTTTGGGAGGCAAAACACACTCTAATAAACCTCGATGCCCAAATACTTATAAATGTGTTTATATTTTTGTTTACTAATAAAACAAAAGTCTATCCACAAAAGAGAAATCTTCGTTCGCTTATGGGAACTGTTGAGTAACTGTTGGTATCGGTATCGACATAATGCCGTCGATACCAACACTTGTTGCACGGCGTATTTTATAATGGATGGCTATGAATAGGCACGATAGGTGTGCGTGTATGTGTGTGCTATCGGCGTGAAAATTATATCGACAGTGATACCGATAACGATGCAGTGAAATGTTGGAGCTCTTCCAAATAAAAGAGCACGTATAAAATGACACATTAATATATATATTTATATTAAAATTAAATGTGTACACTACGGTACTAAATGCGTCATAAAAAAAAAAATGAGCTTATGACATGATTATCTTTAAAATTATGGTATGTTTTATTTTACAAAAAGGTTTTAGGGATTAGTATTATTTTTATGCAAATTCGATCGAGTTTAGACGTTGGTATAAAGGTTAGAATTAGCTTTGAATTTAAACGGATTATGGTACCCCTCAAAAGTGTAAAATATTCTTATATACATATATATAATTAGATTGTGCCAAGGCCTTTATCCTTTTCTGAGGAAGTTCGTCAGTACGGTTTTATTATACAAATTATAAGAAAAATTCTGAAATTAGTATAATTTTTTTGCCAACAATGTAGGACAAAATACATATTTTTAATAAAAAACGAGAAAGAACGCGTGAATTGCTTCTGTAGACGCGACTCTACATTTATACCCGTACTCAGTCAGTATATTAATTTAATAGCTTATGATTTATGTAGAATTTTAAAATATGTTACATTTTACATTTTTTTGTTACATTTGTTATCTACATCTACAATGTCGATTAAACATCTAAAATGTAGATTATATATCTACAATGTAGATTCTACAAATTCTCCGTAAAGGTCGCGCATTGCACAGGGCAGAGCAGAGTGTGTGCGAGCGAGAAAGAGAATGAGTAGCGTGGTCTCGTGTTGGAGGAGGTAGGGGAAGCAACAGAAAATTAATTTCTTCATTCTTGCTATAATTATGATCCGATCAGTACCAGACTTGGCAATCTGATAGATATGGTGATTTTCTATGATACTGCGCTTTTTTGTATCTTTAAAATTGTGGCTGCCACAGATTTTCGTCCTTTTTTGGGGGGGAAGGGGGCTTGGTTGCTCTAGCTCGTATAGTCTCCGAGAACTAGGCGCTCATCAGGACGGACGGACGGACAGACAGAAATGGCTATATCGACTCGGCTATTGATGATGATCAAGAATATATATTCTTTATGTGGTCGGAAACATTTCCTTCTCTGCGTTGCACACATCCACTTTTACTACAAATTTAATATACCCCTCTTTTTGAGTACGGGTATAAAAAGTTGTATCACACATGTATAATAATTTCTGACATACTAGAGACATAAGTGAAGGAAACCCCAAAAAGTAAATTCTATATCTGACCAAATAGGGTCGGTTAAAGAATAGTCGTGCTCCAATTATTCTTGAGAAATTTATAGAAGATCTTAATACGAAAAACGCTTCTTAAACATTTTTTTTGCATATTTTTACATACACTCCTCGCCACTTGTATAGGACACCCCATCAGGTCAGTTTTCTATCATCGCCTGCTCCCAAACCAAGCACGTTAGAGACTTAATTTCTGTTTTAACGTTTATTTTATTGTTGTAATATGATAAAAAAAAAGCTTTTTTTATTAAGCTGCAAGTATTTAAAACATTATAAACATTAAATTTAATAGTTTTTTAGCCACCTTTCTTTTCCAAAACTAGACACATCATGTTGGGAAGAGAATAGGGCGCCCAGCTTTATAGCTTCACGTTTTGGCTCTAAATAAAAGCTTTAACAATCCAGGCTGCATGGATAGGCGCATTATCACGTTGATAAGCCAATGAAAGGTTTCTAAAAAGGTTTTCGAAGTGTGGACAAGCCGCTTTCAAAAAGCAAGTGTAAGACAGCGTTTCATTGTGGTTGGCAAAAATTTCATTTTGAAGGTGTCACAATGCGAAATGGCCCCCACACCATCTCACCGCCAACTCTGCTATGGATTCTATCCAAATGATGGGTTTCTTTCCGAAGATCAGGAAAATAATAACTTTATCCAACAGGGCCTTCCAAATGGAATTTTTTTCGTCTGAGAAGACCACGCGTGACACTGCGAAGTCCAACTAACATGTGCGCGGCGATAACTTTGTCTTTTCGAACGGGGCTAAGAGGTGGCTTCTTCTTTATTTTAAGATTTTTTAGATGTTAAGCTTTCAAAATAACGCGCTGCATTGTTGTTAGACTGGCCTTAACACCACATTTTTCTCTAATTTTCTCCAAAGAAACGTGTGAATTTTACGCTTTCCTAAATATAAGTCGCATCTCTGCTGCTGTAGAACTCTGTGTGTGCGACCTTTATTTTTTTTTCCCATATTATGACTCATTAGTTAAAAACTGGAGTACAACATGTCAGCTTCTATCGATATTTATTTTAATATTTTAGCAACAGATAGTCCAGCTACCTTGTATGATTTGATATGTCCTTTTTCCACATCGGTTGACCGCTTTACGCTTTATTAAATTAATAAGTCAAACGTTATCACAAAGTTAAATCAACTAAGTATAGGTGTTCATCTTGCAAAGCTAACGATCAAACTAAACGCATGTCCTATTCAAGTGGCGCAAATTTAAGACCCCGGAATTCACTGTTTTTTTTGATATATTGTTTTTTAAATACTTACAGCTTAATAACTAAATCTTTCTTTTAATCATATTAAAACAATAAAATGCACTTTAATTTAAAATAGAAATTAAGTCTCTAACGTGCTTGGTTTGGGAGCAGGCGATGATAGAAAACTGACCTGATGGGGTGTCATATTCATGTGACGAGCAGTGTATTTTGTTTGCCATATAAATATGTAAATTATTGTAATGTTCAGTTTTCTATAAAAAAAGGACTCCCTTTTAAGTCACATTAATACAAATTATGCATTAAATTTTCAATATTTTCGGTTCGTGAATTCTGAGAAATTGCAAAGAACAAAAAATTTTCAAGCTTGATGCAAAAGGAAGTAGCAGACAAAACTAAACTTAACACGGGAGTATACTTATTAGCGAAATCTTAAAGTCTACATAGTAAGGCTCACAAACGTTTTAGACATCTGCTTTAAAAACCTTGTACATGTGGCACATTTAGGGGATGGAGTCGTATGCGCAGACGCTATATCAATGAGAGGGCCAATGAGAGAGTTCATATATTCAGGATGTCTGTCCATTTGTCTATTTGTATGTGTGTGTGTGTGTCCACTCTATAGTAAGCTATGGCTAAATTAAAGATGGCGTCTGTAAATCGCCCACCCACGCGCAGAAAAAATGTCAATGGCGTGTTGGAAGCATTGATGAACAAATACAAAATACACTAAAAATACAGGGCAATACTAAAAATATTCAACATAGTAATCAAACTTATTTCAGATCGGATAGAAGAATAAATATTTAAAAGTGCTTGCTTGGGCTGTTCTGTTATTGACATATATACTATAAATTTTTAGAAA